CCCCCCCCCTCGACAAACAAAGAGGCAGTTGGCAGTTAGAAATCAGCAATCATTCACACACCCCCACTGCCCTCCAGAATTCTCAGGTAACAACCTAATTTACATATGAATGACTAGCCAGTGTAGCTTCCACTTGGCTGAAGCTAAAGCCTAGCTAAAAGCCTACCAGGTAGAAAGCCAAATGGCTGCTCTCTGGGACTCTAAGCAGCAGTGTGTGACGGAGGGGCGGCAGATGACGGTGAAAGTGTTGGATTTAGGAATTTGCATCGTATGACACAGTGTGACTTCCGTGTTTTTAAAAGCCACAAATAAAGCTTCTGTACTGTGTGTGACCTGCTGGCATGGACATGCTTCATCAGCTCCTGACTGCAGAGTCATGTTATGCAAGCCATCAGCGTGTCCTTTAGCTTAATGACAGCAGCGCCTCCGTAACATGAGCTGATATAGTTTTAAAGATGAGGAGCACATTTCTCTATTTTTGTTTTGGGTGATTTTCTCTCACAGTTCCACAGAAACTAGTCCAGGGCTACTTCTGAGAAACTGAACTGAAAATGAATTGTAAGTCCAGCACAGGAAGTACTTTCCTCCTGTCAGCTTTCCTTTTACTGACATCGTACTGTAGGTCTTGCAGTATTCCAGAATCATGTCACCAACATTACTGCATCCAAGCTGTTATGTTAAATGTTACATTTGTTATATTTTTGAACGACAAACTTCAAATGGTTTTGTTTTTTTTAGTTGTCGGTGAAACCTGATGACGTTGGTCAAAACTCTTCTTTGCTCACACATTGGCAGCTTTTGTCACTGTGGTGTTTGGATGGGCTGACGTCTCGATCGTGTTGCAGGCGGTGGAGCAGCTCGTGTTTAACGTTACGATTATGTGTGTGTTTTAGGTGATCTACACCTCGTTTGGAGGCTCTGCCAAAGGGCTGCACTTTAACAATCTGATCGTGGGTTTGGTGCTTCTGACCAGAGGACGTGATGAGGAGAAGGCAAAGTGTAAGTATCTGTTTAGGCCATGAGATGTTGATTTCATTTCCCTCTCTCTTGTCTCGCTTTAAAAAAAACAAAACAAAAAACAGAATAAAAGTCGTTTTAAAATTTGTTTTTTATGAGATATAATGTAAGCTTTAAGCTAATGCAGTTTAGTTATAGTCAAGGAGTGATCAGGGGTTGCCATGGCTACTGCCACACTTGGATAAACATACTTACTGTCATTAAAGTAATTTATTACATCATTACCTACTATGAAAAGTCATTTGTTTAAGTATTTCTAAATTGCTAAAACGAACCCCCTTTGCATGTAGACAGGGTGTCATGGTTAAACATCCGGAGGCTGTATTTCCTGTCATATATTTACCTTTAAGTGCTTTCACTCTACCTCTTTTCATAGCGAGTAGCACTCGGTAATATCTCCACCACCAAATAATCAGCATCAGGCTGGTTCGAGCTAGCTTTAGCTGAACTAAATGCTGTTTCTGAGGCTGAGCTCTGGCACAGGTATTAACAGGCCTCGTGTTTTGAAGGTACTGTTTAAAAATGTGAAGAACTAATTAGCAGCTGACCCTTGTGAACACTTCTCAGTATCTCAGCCGTGTAAAGGCCCGACAGACTCCTGGATTTGTTCCACGATTACTTGGTGAAATTTCCCTCTGGGCTTTGACTCGGACATTTATCCTAAGCCTCGTCCAGTGCTGTCTTGGATGTTTGCTTTCATACTGAAAGATGAACAATTATGTAGATTTCTGTTGAGGTCATCAAACTGTTCTTTGTTGTATTTTAGAAGCTAATAAAACAAATAATGAGACGACTCGTTCCGCAGCTATTTTTTCCCCACTATCAATTTTATATCTGTAAACTTTAAGAAACTAGTCTCCTGGGTCAATAATTCTGCAATCACTCATTTTAACCTGCGGTTTAGTCCTTTATAATATCTGTCTCCATTCTTTGTTCCATGCTAAGTGTTACTTGGAACAAAATCCATCCCGGATACGGATGTTGGCATCCGTCGAGTTATGTATAGGCAACATATGTTGAACGTGACAAAACAAACGAATGATGAAATTAACATAAACGAAACAGATTTGGGGCTTTGCAATAAAAGTTTTTCTTAAAAACCTTTTAAATGTTAATAGTTACTGTATGTGTGATGACATACGTCGACGCACTCGTTAAGGAGGAGATGGTACATGCATATATACATACGCTGTGATCAAAGAGAAAAGATGCAGTGTTCATAGTTGTCACATCACTACTGGGACACGTCCACCTGGAAGACAAAACAGTACTGCGGTCCTCCAGCTGTCCTCTAAACGTCTTCAGATTTAACTTGGCACAGCACCAGCTTCCAGAAGGGCGTGGCATATGGCACCAACCTGTGAACACACCTACGCCTACCCCGCCTTACAGGCCAAATCATTCTCCACGGCAACCAGGCTGTCAGTGGCGGCTCAGTGAAACTGTAGGAATGGTTTAGCCGACACCGGACAAATACTCTGACACGTGACAAATGAATGCTCCTCATACTTCCTGGCCCGACACTGTAAATGTCCAAGTCAACCAAATGTTAGATTTACACGTGGTACTTGAAGCTAGCTGTAGCAGTTATCTTTGCTTTAACGGTGAAGTTTCTTGTTCTTCGCCTCCCACACGGTGCTGTTATTTACCCATCCAGCAGGTCACAAGTCCCCAAAAATCACGGTTTCTCTTCATATCTTTGTCTCCCCTCCATGAAGAGATGAACGTAGTCTTGGCTCGAGATAAAAACAAAACTTTCGTCTTGCAGTACTACTGACCGTCCACTGCTGACCGTCATGATGGAGCGATGTTTTGCCCGACAGGGTGGCGAGTCGCTCACGTGACTGAAAACTATGAAAAAGCGAGTCAGCGAAGTCGGAACTGCAGCGAAACACTTGAATTTAATCTGGGGACAAAATATTGAAATGTTGAACTTGTCAGTGGACTGATGACAGCTGGTGAGTGGTTCTGTTTTACTGCAAAACATCATTTTTAGAAGGTATTTCTACATATACAGCTTCAGAAAAGCTCGCTCACCTTAACTGTCCAAGCACACATGGGCCGGAAACTCTCAGAACTGTGTGAGACATCTGGTTGATTTCTTTGTAGGATAGGCTACAAGCTGAAGGAGCGGCTGTTTTGAGACCACAGTGATTGAAACGTTTCGTTTCTTTTTGTTTTTCATGCTTTTGGTTCGTCTCTTCTTCCTCAGGCTCATTCTGGTAGTCGTATCTCACATGTCGCAGGCATTCAAATCCATCAGGACATTATTGACATTGAGACTTTTATCAGCTCATTGCTGCTGTGTGCTGGACGCCTGCGTTCCTGTGATAAAGCTGAGCTTTCTTCTTCGTGTGTTTGTGTGCACAGACCTCTTCAGCCTGTTTGCCAGTGATCTGGGGGGATATGCTGCCAGGGAAGATATAGAAGCAGTTCTGCAGGTCCTGGATGGAGAAGTCCCGGCATCCCTGAAGGAGTCCTTCGGCGAGGTGAGCAAACGCTGCAAAAGACTGCACAGCATTAATCTGTTAACTCATGCACTCATGCAAGTGAGCTGCAGACTAATGACTCCTCGGCTTCTATCGCAGAGCGCTTGATCGTTGCAGAGGTTTCAGTCACATGCTTATAAAAGAGCCATTGTTACAGGGAGCCTCCTCGCTGTGATAATACAAAGTTTGGCTTATCAGCGAGTCATTGTGCTGGTTATTAAAATACCACCTGAAAGCATGCAAACCTCCCCACTCCCACCTCCTTTATAGCATGCAAACATCTCTAGAGACACAACACAATAAAGTCTAATACTCAGGTGTTGCATTTTCCCCCGATGATGTTTATGTCCATTATTATCCTTCTGCAATTACATGTTCACTTCTGAAATCACCACTGACCAAATCCATGTCCAAGACTGATTGTTTCATTTGTTTAGATGCTTATTTGTGGGTTAAACAGAGTCGGGATATTGTTTGTGTGCAGGAGAAACAAAAAAGTCGTTTGGTACTGGGCCACAAGAGTTGAGGCTCCGGGGGGGAATTCATGGTTTTCAGGGTTTTTATCGGCTTTCAGCGTTATTCTTTTATCGTTTTTATCATTAACTTGGTTTCCCTGCGTCTTTTCCTGTGTGTTATGAATAAATCTTCCTTTTTGTTTGGTGCCGGTGTCGTGCCAAACTAGGTACCCCCGACAGAATTTGTTTCCCCTGCGTCAGGAGCACAAGCTGGACTGTCCAAATCACGGACAAACGGCATCCCACTGCTGATTTTTAGTTCACAAACACTTCTTATTATGACGCATTACTCCTGAAACTTTGGAGGATTTAGCTCTTTATATAGTAAAGTTACAGGAGAATAAAAATAGTTATCAGCCAAAATGTTAATGGTTTGTTAAAATAATCCCATCTGAGCAATAAATATATAATTTTCTGTAGTAACCCTCAAACTGAATGGTAATGTAACGATACTAATTTTTCACTTTTTCACAAAAAGAAAACATCAGTACTTCCTGCGTGCTCCCAGCACAGGGGAAACATTGTCGGGGATACCTCCTTTGTTGTATTTATCCGCCACACCTTTAAGGCCGGTCCGTGAAAATATTGTTGGACATGAACCGGTCTGCGGCGACCGCTGCTGTAAAGAGTTTTAAAACATCAAAAGAAAATAGTGCACGTGTATTTAAGAGCCTTCTTGGAGCTCAATAAATATCACTCAATGATTTCACAATGAGTTTATTGGAGCTATCATTAGCAGTGCTAGCACCAGCATGTAGGCTAACGTCCACACACGTACGTAATGTGGTTGCACAGTTTATGTGCAGCTGTTAACATTATTTATCGCTGAAGTATCCAAATAATTTAAGTCAAGTCCTTCTAGAGGGAGGTGTTGCAGCTCGGCTCGCTCTATTTTGACCAGCTTGTGTTTGTGGTGCCAATCATCTCGCTGACTGAAGCACACATACAGAGTTCAGGCCTTAGCAAAGCCATTGTGACATATAACATGTTTAAGCGTCACTTTGGTTTTAAAGGGGTGGCTGCATTACCTGCTGCCTCGGCCACTGGTAGTCCAGGTGTGCACGAGGCCGTTCCTACAGTAGCTCTAAGTTTGTGCACGAGGGAACATTTGCATTCATCGGGGATCGTTACGATTCATCAGGTTTCTTATATTAGAGCCTCGTCTGTCGTTCTCTGTTTGATGTTTGCAGCGTGAAACTGATATCTGTCAACTGAATAGAGCTTCCACCTTGATGTGAAGCAAAGTGTATTTCCCTTATCTATGTTTGCGCCCTCGTCCTTGGCTACTTTCTGCAGTCCTGCCCTGGCACTTGTCACTCATTTTGATGAGCTGCCTTCTTTAAAATCTCAGTAAACTTCTGTTGGGGGAAAAAGACGTTCAAGAAGCAGAAGTCTGTGCTTCTCGTCACGACTGAATGATTCGATTTGTCAGACTTTGTGTAATTTGTTAGTTTAAATTTAAAAGCCCTAAACCCCAAAACACTTTGACTGATGAATAACGATAGCTAATGAGTCCGTAGCGACGGGCCAAAGCCTTTCCTCATTAAATAGCCAAACGGGGATGGACTCGGCACACGGCTGGCGATCGGGTGTTTTGGCGACAGCAGATTCATTTTGCCTTTGTGTTTGTGCAGGGAGACAAGGTCAACTACGATCGCTTCAGGAACTGGCTCCTGCAGGACAAGGACGCCTTCACTTTGTCCAGATGGCTGCTGTCGGGAGGAGTGTGTGTCACGCTGACGGATGACAGCGACACGCCCACTTTCTACCAGACCCTAGCGGGCGTCACACACCGTAAGGCCACCCCTAAAACAGCGTCCTGCAGCAGTGCGCCTGAATGTTATGTGTTTACTTCACACTTGAGACGCTCAGGTGTTCATTTGATACCTGGTTTGTTTTAGATGGACTTTGGATTGGAATCAGTCTGGATGATTATTCAGCATTTTTAGTCACTACAAGAAATTCTGACCAGCCTGGCCAAACTCTGCAATGCACAAGGCCTTGCTAACCAATGTTGCTCCACAGAGAATAACTTAGAAAGCTTTTAATGTGAAACTGCTCCAAGAAAATTGATGGCTTGTAGCTTGTTAAAGCGGAGGGGAGGATTAATAAATAAAACAATTAAAAAAAATAAAACTTCAGCAGGTTAGAGCTGGTTTGAAGAGTAGTGTTTGTAAGGGGAAAAGGAGAGCATCAGACTCTTCTGAGTGGTGGGAATGCAGTTTGTGCTGATGGTGTTCCTGACGCTACCAGGAACCACAAGCTGGTATAAAGTTTGCATTAATACGAGCAGCAGCTGCTGCCAAGATGTGGAGGTTTCTTGCTAGAAGGTGATGACATATACCAGCAGAGATGGGCAGTAACGCGTTACAAGTAACGCGCTACTGTAATCTGATTACTTTTTTCAAGTAACGAGTAAAGTAAGGGATTACTATTGCAAAAACAGTAATTAGATTACCGTTACTTTCCCGTAGGAACGCTGCGTTACTGCGTTACTAAAACC